GGCTTTCATAAAGTTTTCCAGTAGTATGCCAGACAGTGTTTCAATGCTATTCATAAGGTTTTCACTGGGAAATTCTTTGAGAAGTGGATGCCCCCTTTCTTCTTCCAAGTCTGTCTTAGTCTGGAAGCTCTGCTGAAACCTATCCATGGTGGGTGACCCTGCTGGTATTTGAAATACTAGTGGCATAGTCTTCCAGCCTCACAGCAACACACAAGCCACTACAGTATGACAAACTGACAAACGAATGGTAGAGACTTATAAGGTATTTTTGTTGTTGTTGTTGTTGTTGTTGTTATGTGCCATTCAGTCGTCTCTGGCTCATAGCAACCTTATGTACAACACAATGAAACACTGCCAAGTCCTGTGCCAGCCTCATGATCCCTGCTATACCTGAGCCCATAGCTGCAGCCACCATGTTAATCCATCTGTTGAGAGCCTTCCCCTCTTTCGTTGACCTTCCACTTTACCAAGCATGATGTCCTTCTCCAAAGAATGGTCCCTTCTGACAACATGACCAAAGTATGTGAGATGAAGTCTGGCCATTCTCACTTCCAAGGAGCATTCTGGCTGCACTTCTGCCAGGACAGATTTGTTCGTTCTTTTAGCAGTCCATGGTACTTTGAGCATTCTTCACCAACACCACAACTCAAAAGCATCAACTCTTCTTCAGTCTTCCTTATTCATTGTCCAAGTCTCAAATGCATATGAGATGATTGAAAATACCATGGCTTGGGTTAGGCCCATCTTAGTCTTCAAGGAGACATCTTTGCTCTTCAGTGCTTGAAAGAGGTCTTTTGCAACAGATTTGCCCAGTGCAATATGTCTTTTGATGTCTTGACTGCTGCTTCCATTGGTGTTGACTGTAGAACCAAGTAATATGAAGTCTTTGACAAAAGCAAACTTTTCTCCATTCATCATGATACTGCTTATTGGTCCAGTTTTAAGAATTTTAGTTTTCTTTATATTGAGGTGTAATCCACACTGCAGACTGTAGTCTTTAATCTTCATCAGTAAGTGCTCTATGTCATCCTCACTTTCAGCAAGCAAAGTTGTGTCGTCTGCGTATCACAGGTTTTTCATGAGCCTTCCTCCATCCTGATGCCATGTTCTTCTTCATATAGTCCAGCTTCTCGGATTATTTGCTCAGCATACAGATTGAATAAGTATGGTGAAAGGTTACAACCCTGATGCATTCACTTCTTGATTTTAAACCACACAGTGTCCCCTTGTTCTGTTTGAATGACAGCCTTATTCTATGTACAGGTTCTTCATGAATACAATTAAGTGTTCTGGAATTCCCATTCTTCTCAATGTTATCCATAATTTGTTATGATCCACACAATCGAATGCTTTTGCAAAGTCAATAATACACAAGTAAACATCTTTCTGGTGTTCTTTGCTTTGAGCCAAGATCCATCTGACATCAGGAATGATATCGCTCATTCCATGTCCTCTTCTGAATCCAGCTTGCATTTCTGAAAGTTCTCTGTCAATAATATACTGCTGCAACTGTTTTTGAATTATCTTCAGTAAGATTTTACTTGCATGGGATATCAATGATACTGTTAAATAATTTTCACTTTTTGTGGGATCACTTTTCTTTGGAATGGGTACAAATATGGATCTCTTTGAGTCAGTTGGCCAGGTAGCTGTCTTCCAAATCCCTTGGCATACCCAAGTGAGTGCCTCCAGTGTGGCATCTGTTTGTTGAAACATCTCAGTGGGTATTCTGTCAATTCTTGGAGCCTTGTTTTTCACCAATTCCTTCAGTGTAGCTTCAACTTCTTCCTTCAATACCACTGGTTCTTGATCATATGCCACCTCTTGAAATGGATGATCATCTACCAATTATTTTTGGTATGGTGACTCTCTGTATTCCATCCATCTTCTTTTGATGTTTCCTACATCATTCAACATATTGCCCATGGAATCTTTCAGTATTGCAATTCAAGGCTTAAATTTTTTCTTCAGTCCTTTCAGCTTGAGAAATGCTGAGTGTGTTCTTCCCTTTTGCTTTTCTAGCTCCAGGTCTTTGCACATTTCATTACAATAATTGACTTTGTCTTCCCAAGCTTCTCTTTGAAATCTTCTGTTGAACTCTTTTATCCTGTTGATTCTTCCATCTGCTTTAGCTACTCTCCATTCAAGGGCAAGTTTCAGAGTCTCTTCTGACATCCATTTTGGTCTTTTCTTCTTTTTTCATCTTTGTAATGACCTCTTGCTTTCTCTATGGATGATGTTCTTGATTCCACAATTCATCTGATTTTTGGTCATTGGTGTTCAATGCATCAAATCTATTCTTTAGATGGTCTCTAAATTCAGGAGGGATATAAGCAAGGTCATATTTTGGCTCTCATGGACTTCTTTTAATTGTCTTCAGCTTCAGCTTGAACTTCCATATGAGCAACTAATGGTCTGTTCCACAATCAGATCCTGGCCTTGTTTTGGCTGAAGATACTGAGCTTTTCCATCATCTCTTGCCAGAGATGTAGTCAATCTGATTCCTGTGTACTCCATCTGGCAAAGTCCATGTGTATAGCCACCATTTGTGTTGTTGAAAAAAGGTATTTTCAATGAATAAGTCGTTGGTCTTGCAAAATTTTATCATGCCATCTCTAGCATCATTTCTATCACCAAGGCCATATTTTTCAACTACTGGTGCTTCTTCTTTTTTCCTATCTTTTACATTCCTATCACCTTTGATAATTAACACATCTTGATTGCATGTTTGGTCAATTTCAGGCTGCAGAAGTTGGTCAGAGACTTCACATTTCCTCATCTATATATCATATAATGCATGTGATTTCTAAATATTTTCTCCCATTAAGTAGTTTGTCTTTTTCACTTTCCAGTAGTTTCCTTTGATACCCCAAAGTTTTGAATATTGATGAAGCTCAGTTTACCTACGTTTTCTTTGGTTGCTCTATTTTTGGTGTCATATCTAAGAAGTCATTAATAGATTCAAGGCCATGAAATTTTACCCTTATATTTTCTTCTAAGAATTTTATAGTTTTAGCTCTTACACTTAAGTCTTTGATCCATCTTGAGTTAATTTTTATGTTAATTCCATCATACTACACTTGGTCTGTCTTGCTCTGCTTGGTCCTGAAGAAATGTTAAGGTAAAAAGCCAGGCAGGTAACCTAAGTGGAATATGAATTAGAAGTCATCCAAGGATCTCTAGTCTGTTATCCATGCTTTAAGGGTAACAGTGCTATGTCTTCATGGGACCAACTTCCATCTCAGTACTAATATCAGAAATGCTGAAATGACTCAAATGCCATGTTGTGTTATTTTGCATGTGAATATCTAGTTGTCCTAGCACTATTTGTTGAAGGGACTATTACGTCCCCTATGGAATGATCTTGGTATTCTTATTGAAAATCAGTTGATCATAGATTTCTGGAATATCAATTCTATTACATTCATCTATATGTCTGTCATTATGCCAGTACCCACTGTTTTGATTCTTTGTAGTATATTGTTTTGGTTACCTCATGCTGTTCTGACAGGAATATATCACAAATGTGATGGCCTTAACAAACAGGAGTTTATTCTTACAATTTGGAGGCTTTTAAGTCTGAGTTCAAAGTGCTTCCTGCTCCCAGCCCACTGAAGCTAGAGGATTTTCTTCACTCAGCTCCTGGCTGCTGAGACTCACAAGCCCAAGGTTGACAAGTAAAAAGACACAGTCCTGATGTTACCAAACCACAAGGCAGGCCATTAATTCAAGTCCATTGAAAGTCTCATGATCAGCAGGGCATGGCAGGCTGCTGAACAATGAAACAGCTACATGCAGGGTTTAAGCGTGCCATAAGATAGAGACCATTCCCCAAGGCTTCTCCTTATATATAGGAAGCAGACCACATTCCTAAGGCAGCTACTCAGCTGCTCACAGTAGATTGCACCATGGAGTTGATTACCAGTCTCATCAAGGAGAATACTATATTCAGCTACCCACCCACTCAACCAGGCCCAGCCAAGTTGACACACAAACTTAACTACCACATATATTTTTACATTGGGAAGAAAAGTCCTCCAACTTATTATTTTTTTTTAATTCAAGATTGTTTTGACTATTTGGGTTCCCTTGCAATTCCACGTAAATTTTAGAATTGGCTTTTCCACTTCTACAAAAGAGGACATTGGGATTTTGATAGTGATTGCATTGAATCTGTAGATTGCTTTAAATACTATATCCATCTTGACAATATTAAGTCTTATAATCTCTGAACACAGGAAATCTTCCTGTTTACTTAAGTCTTACTAATTTTTTACAACAATCTTGGTAGTTTTCAGTCTACAAGTGTTGTATCTTTTTGCTTATATTTATTTCTAAGTATTTTATTCTTTTTGATGTTCTTGTAAATGGAATTGTTTCTCTAATTTAATTTTCAGATGTTTCATTGTTAGTGTATAGAAATATATCTTATTTTTGTGTGTTAATTTTGTATTCTGCAACTTTGCTGAATTCATTTATTAGCTCTTTTATTAATTTTTCTTTTTTTCCTGATTAGTCTGGTTAAATTTTCCAGTACAGTGTTGAATACAAATAGTGAAAGCAGGGATCCTTTTCTTATTCCTGACCCAGAGGGGGAATGTTTCAGTCTTTTGCTATTGAGTATAATATTAAGTGTGGGCATTTGTTTATTTTAGAAGCTTTTTATGCTCTAGTTTTGAAATAATGGAGTGAAAATGTACCACTTAAAAATCTAGGACATTCTCTGAAATTCCACCCATCCTCAATGATCATTACTACTCATGCTTTGAACAGTGATCTTTAAATGTCCTTTTAAATTTTTTTGTTCAAAAAAATGATCTAATATAAAATGTTCATATTATTAAAACTGGCAAAGAACCTGATATTTTACCAATGTTTTATCTGTGCAGTTCAAAAGGGACTGTAACATTCTATTAATCTTGGAATCCAGCATTTTGAAGTGTGAACCACCTTTGCAAATGTGATGATTCTAATGTGTGCTTTTAAAAATAAAACTACAGGTTGCTTTTGTACTGTATCCCCCCAGTGGAGGTCCGGCATGGGAGCCAATGGATCATGACAACATTCTGTTTCTCACCATATGCTTTTGCTGGCATTATGCATTCGGCCTTATTGTCATTGGATTGAATTATGCCTTTATCAACTGGTAAGTGTTGAACTTAAAATTCAAATGGGGATTTCATTCCTTAGCATCCTCGAAAACAGATTAGCGTAGCAGAATTTTTTTTTTCAAACACAGACATTCCCAATAAAAAGAACAAATGCTTGCTTAAAGTTTGAATAACTCCCAAGTGCCTCTGTGTGAACCCTTCAATTCAGTCTTCTGCACCTCCATGTCTTTTCATTTGCTGTTTCCTCTTCCTGAGTGATCCTCTCCACACTTCCATTAAGCTCTCCATTTGCCCATGTATACACATAATTCAATTATAGGATTTCCAAAACTTGGTGTCCTTTTTTGACCAACTTGTGTGTGTCCTGTTAAACTTTAATTACTTGGTTAATTTGCTATTCTGCTATCTCTGAAAGTAATAATCCATTGATACATGTTTTCAGAGTGTTTCACAAGGAGGTCAGGAGCAACATAACAGGGTGTTAAGAACACATATTTCTAGCTTTGCTTCTTATCAGTTGTGCAACATTGGGCAAATTATTTAGCTACATTAAATTTCAGCTTCATCATTTACAAGATGGGGAAAATAATAGTGCCTGAGTAAGATCACGTATTTAAACTGTCTAGGAAATAATAAGAGCTCATGAAATGCTGCTGTTGTTTTTTTCTTTCCCTTCTCCTCTTCCTTCTTATATATCAAATAATGAATGAAGTATAAATTCTTCATATAAAGCATTCTTAGTACTATTGGGAGAAACAGACAATTGAAATACAGTGCAATAGTTGGAAGTAGTAGAATAAAGCACTATTTGAACTCAGAGGAGACCTCCCACAATTAAAATTCAACTGCAGCTTGAGAGATGTACAGGAATAGAAAGGGGTGAACACAATTCCTCTTCCTAAGGTAGGTAATAGGAGCTCTCATAGCATAGTGCCTAAGGCACTTGACTGCTAACCAGAAGGCTGGCCGTTCAAACCCAACAACCACTCCTTGGAAGGAAGGTTGGGTGTGACTAATGAGCAGTTGAAATATGAATTGTGCCACCTTAATTTTAACTAATTTAAATAGCCACATGTGGCTAGTGGTTACCATACTGGACAGTACACATCCAGCAGGTTCTCCAGTTTCTAAAATGCAATAGGGATGACGTCTCAGCTTCTCCTGAAACCAGCTTTCCACTGTACTGCTGAAGTAGCTTTGCTGCTGGGTCTCCGACTGAGGAAACTATTTCCTTGTCTAGTTCCCAAGATGTCTCTTCTAGGTTCTAAGATATCAGCTTGCTTTGATCATGCAGTTGCCTCCTTCTAGAAACCTAAATGGCTCTGGATGCTGGGAAATTCTATCTTTTCGTTGACTTGATTTCTATTAGTCCTATTTCATTGCCCTGAAGTCTGGCTCTGCCATGAAGTGAAACTTGGCTTCTTCTCCTGTTGTTCCAGGCTGACATCTAGGCCTCATCTCCTGAGGGGCTGGGCAGCCTTCAGGAACAAAGCCAACATTCAAGGAGCCTCTCTACCTCATGTCAGCTCTCCTCCAAAGGAAGACTACTGCCTCTTCCTATTTCAAAACCCTGCAGATGCCTAGCGAAACTCTTCTTCACTTGTAGAAACCAGAAACTCCATTTATGTTTTTCAACGACCACACCCTCTCCACTCCTGCTACACATCACACACCTTATTCTAAACTTTTGACTGTGAGGTTCTCTCTACCTGTCATATCCAAGTTAAATGCCCATCTCTTCTACAAAACCTCTGTGACTACTCTGATTCATCTCCCTTTTTGCGTTTTAATGTGTTTTATTCAATCTCCATATACCTTTAAACAATTGTGATCTATCTTGAGATGTTTATCATTAGTCCATATGTGCTAGTCTTGTCTGTTAGCTAGATTGTGCCTCCGTTAGGAAAGGAACCTTCTTATACGGCTGACAGCTCTTGGCACATAGCCAAACATGCAGTAGGTGCTCACTTGTTTCCTGTTTCAGTAGATCTCTATTTCAGGGATATTTGACTTCATTAGTTTGAAAGTCATGTTTTACATGTTTTTCAATTTTGCTTTCATAGAGCTCAGTGATATGGCATATTTTTAATATAAATTTAAGCAAGAGCTTAAAAACATGTGCCTTTCAGTGAGGACATATGGCTGGCTAACTCAGTCCTGAAATCATAATGAGTCTTGACAACCTGTTTGTCAGACATTAACTGACAAGTATTTGTAATTCAGCCTCAGTTGATGGATTTTCAGAACATTTTTTCAGAATTTGTTTGACAGAGCACAAAAATCACTATGGAAGTGAAACTGGCTTTTGGAATTAGTGCCCCTCAAAAATCTCTGAAAAATGAAGCTCTGCTTCTCAACTTCTCAGAACAATGATTCAAAGATTGCCTCATCCAGCCCCATGTCAGATAATAACAGCTCACAGGAGAGTCTGGGAATCTTATTACGTGTTTTACTGTGTTACAAATTTTAAAACCACTCTTGCAGAGAACTTTTTCAAAAGTCTCCCTCAATGAGTGGGAAATATTGCCCACCTTCAGGATGATTTTCTAAGTAATGATTCACTTGAGCCATTCTGAAGAATAAAATAGAGATGCCCAAATTCCAGTCATATACTAGTTTCCTGGAAGTTTGCCTAGAGTCTCAATTCTGCTCTTTCCTATATTGAGAAGAGCAGACAGGACTAGAAGCCAGACATACGCTGATTCTCCTTCCCTGGAAGTGCGTCATCCCAGGAACTAGCAGTTATCCACTCTTCCTCTTTATTATCTCATCCTTCCATCTGCCCCTGGTGCCATTTCTGCATGTGCTACTGATGGCAGATAGAGTTGGGTTAAGATGTCTGAGAGTGCCCCAGCTTGGTGACTTGTAGCTACAGCAGATACAACCCAGAATGGAAGAATGGGAAACAGTAGGGGCCATTAGGATCTATTGACAAATAGCTATGTCTTTGTTTTTATTTTCCCTGAAAATCATTAGAAAATAAAACAAAAAATGAAGCAATTAATTAAATAATCCTTTTCATTTAGCCTTTACTGAGGTTGTGCAATATGCAACTGTGAAGGTTTAAAAAAAATGACGGCAAACTGTCCCAGCCTTTAACTTCCTTAAGACTGTTCAACTATCAGAAGGAACAGTTACTTGAAGAGTTGAGGACATTGGAAGCAACATCAGTATTTAATTAATAATCAAGGCAAATGAGTGTGAGGGGTTTTCTTTGGCCCTTGATGAGTTGACAAATGTTACAGATCCTGCTTGTTGTTGTTGTTGTTGATTGTCGTCGAGTCGGCCCTGACTCATAGCGACCCCTTAGTTTTTGTTTATTTGAGGAGTCAATGATAAGTTTAAAGTGACTGAAAAATCAGCCTCTTCAAATAGGAGCTCCTGCGGTGTGGTGCCTAAGGCACTTGACTGCTAACTGGAAGGCTAGCGGTTCAAGCCCACCAGCTACTCCAGGGAAGGAAGATGGGGCAATCTACTTCTGTAAAGATTTACCACCTCAGGGAAACCCAATGGGGGTTAGAAATGATTAAAACTTGTTGCTGTCTAGTCAGTTCTGACTCACGGTGATCCTATATGTTACAGAATAGAACCAAGCTCTGTAGAGTTTTCCTTGACTGTAAGTTTTACAGAAGCATGCCACCAGATCTTTCTTCCACATGCTGCTGGGTAGCTTTGAAATGCCAATCTTCAGTTAGTATTTGAACACAAACTGTTTGCACCACCCAGGGACCTCTTGAAATTATATGTTATGAAGATACCTAATTAAACAATCATTTAATACATTGAAAGCCATGTTGTACCAGCTTACTTATATCCTGTTTTAATTCACAAAAATTTTCAGGTAGCTCCAAAGCCAAATAAAAGTGGTTTTCCTTTTTTGGGTTATGCACCCCATTTGTACAGATAGCCTGGAATTTGTCGTATTATAGATGCATAGTGCTCTGCTTTTTATTTTAAATAACCTCTAATATAAGATGCCATTTCATTCTCAGGTTGGTTAAATCTAAACTTAAGAGGTTCTGCCCCTCAGAAGTTGGACTCCTGAAAAATACAGAACGAGAACAGGAATCAGAAGAAGAGATGTGATTTTGATGAGCATCCAGTCTTTATAGATAACCCTTTTCTTTGGTGCATTATTTTTGTTCACGGTTTTGTTTTGGAAATTCTTTGCTAAAGATAGTCCTCAGTGTATTGTCTGTATTTTCAATTTTGTTAATGTATTTGAATTTATATTTAGGTTTAAAAATACTTTTGGTGACTAGTTACTGCTTGAATGATTTCTTGTAGAAGGATCAGCACAAGGCTGGTCACTATGAGGTAGAGGTTAAAGATGTACCAAATGTCCAACTTTTCCATCTCTAACATCAACTCCTCCTCCTCCCCTCAGCACTCTCCCTCCTGTCTTAGGGATTCAGTATTTCACTGTAATGTCTCATAGAACTCACAAACTCCCAAGGAAATGGCTCATGCGGTAGTGGTGGAGGCTGGGAGACTGGCAAGTCCCAAGTTTGTGGGTATGTCTAGAGGATTCTCCCAACTTGTGGGGTTGCTCAGGCTGGCAAACCCAAATTGGCAGGTCAGATGACCTGCTGCTCTCTCAAGTCCAGGGGTAAGATGGTGGTGAACCAAATGCAGGACCAGAATAAGAGAGACAACTTTCCCAGAACATTCACATATATACCTTCAAGGAAGCTGAGGGTGGTAACTTGAGTTACTCCCTCCAGCAAGGTGAGACTTGAGGTATGTCCCATCCTAAACTGGCAGAGACACGAGGATTTACAATACAGCACAAAATGGAGGACAATGGCTAGAAAGAACACACCAAGCAATTCACTGCGCTGCATGCCACCCTCTGCCTCTACTAGCCAATGACCCTTTCACGCTTGAAGAACTAATTTGCCCCTCCCAATCATTTTACCAGTCCCAAAGTCATTAACAGTTAGTCCTTCAGTAAGGCAAAGAGTCCTAAGGGTGAGGTTACTCAGGTAGCAGCCATTCAGGTCTGCTGCAGGTGTCCATCTGACTGGGTCAGGTACTCCAAAAGTTTGTCTCATCGTCACTCTTTCTGGCATCTTATAAAATTTAGCTGGGAGAAGATTATTCCCTTGCTCTGAGTCTCTCTTTAGGTATTAGCATAATGTTAGATTTCGCCCATTGCATAACACATTTATTCATTCCTTTACCTTCAGCTATTATTTCTCCATTTTTACATTTGTCATTTATTTTTACCCAAACTTTCCTACTTGGGAAGGGACATCAGATTCAGCAGCTGTGTCAGTCCAGATTGCTTGCAACAAGACCAGTCTAACAAGTGCTTCTCCCTCAGTCCATTCCCATTCATGTTGGGTTGGGTTACATAGGTACAACATTAGTGGGCTATATTGACCACTGAGAAATAAGGTAGTATTCACTGTCAACCTCAATTCTTCCAGAAGAGGGGAAGGTACAATCCATCCCATAAGGCCCCTGGGAATGTTGGTGTACAGATTCAGGGGTATAGTTACAGTCTCTTGCTTAGGGATCACCCCTACTTCTGGAACCTGGAGCTGCATTTCAGGTCCTGGGACCATAGTTGTTGTCAGGAAGAAAGCAATGTCAGGTGATGTGGGGAAGAATTGTACAGTGGTACCAGTGTTCTCCCCTAACCCCTCTTCCCCAGGTCCCCCAGAAAAACATAGGAATCTGTCCATTCAGGGGCTGGAATGACTTCTCAGCTCACCTAAAATTTGATTCTCATACTATGGAAATTATTTGTTTTATTTGCCTTATAGATATGCTGAAGGTGCCTGGGCTTGCTACCACCTGTTACTTGTTAAACATGGAACTTACACTTGTTTATCTTGTTGCTGGAATGAGAAATCAATAAACGCATGTACCTTAGTTCAGACACTTCAGATCTTTGTTTTTGTTATTCAGTGTCACCCCTTCCTTACATCATGAAGAAGAAGCTATGCAACACTGAAATTCCTCTTGTGAGACACCTCTCTCTGTAGCACCCAGGTTGTTCCCTGGAAAATTAGGCCAAGAAGTAGGCCTGAGTTGTGTGATCTTTCAGAAAATATAAAAGATATGAAGACTAACGGGATCTCCAGGACACATAGTAGAAAAGCCATGAGAGAATGAGGAGAATTGTTATCTGTAAAGAGTAAAAACTTATCACATGGCATAGTAGGGTCACCATGTCATTCGCTCTGCTAAAGTAGTTGAGGGGTAAAAACAAGAAAAACCTTTTTATAGAATATCTAGTCTGTGGGCTAAAAAGCCCCTTGCAGAGAGTTAGGAAACCTATTTCTAATTCTAGCTTTGCCATTAACCAATCTTGAGGGCTTTGGCAGTTACCATGTAACCAGTTGTGGTGAAGTAGACTCCAACTTATGACAACTCCGTGTGTGTCAGGGTGGAGCTGTGCTCTGCAGGGTTTTCAGTGGCTGATTTTTCAGAAGGAAATCACCAGCTCTTTCCTCTGAGGGACCTCTGAGTGGCCTCAAGTTTTTGATTGACAGCTGAACATGTTTACACCACCTAGGGATCCATTCCCCATATACTTGTCTCTACAGTAAGGGAATTGAACTGAATGAATTCTAGAGCAGTTTATGCTGTCACATTTTATGAATTTAGAATCTTTGAGATGAAATTGAAGCATGTGGACAGGTAATTTTGTAAGTTAGTTGAAAAGGCCAGTCGCTGCTGTGACCATAATAGGAAGGAGACGTGCTAGAATCCTTGCACAGTTGTCCAATCATGTTGTTGTTGTTGTTAAGTGCTGTTGAGTCATTTCCGACTCATAGCGACCCCATGCACAGCAGAACAAAACACTGCCC